GAAACCTGTCTGAAAGAAAAATAAACGCGTTTTGAATCACATTGTGCCTAACCCGTACCTGAAACGGCAGCGAGAGCAAGCTAGCGAGGACCTAGAGGCAGGCGCTGGGCTGTGGGCACAGCAGGCCGTCGCCCGCTCCGCTAGGCAGAAAACAGTGGTGGCTTCGGTAGAGGGTGAGCCAAGTGTTGCGATGGCTGGAGACAAGCTACGCCACTGAAAACCCTTGAACCAGTTTGGTTTGGAACCACTACATGGGAAGAAATGAGATACTGAGCTTGGCACAAAATGGCCCTGGAAAACGTGATTTATGCCTCCCTTTTGACAGAACTTCCATAAATATTCATAATATTTGCAATTTTAGAAAAAGCGGTTGTTTTGGCATGTAGTTTGGAATAGAAAACTAACTTCCAGGCTGTTCTCTGCACGGACGAAACTGGAGTCAGGTTACTGCCCTGCTGCAGAATGTGCTTTTGTTACTGGAAAACCGCTACGCTGCAAAGTTTTCAGGAGGTTCATAATGTGGCTGGAGTATTAACTGAAAAGAAATGCCTAAGTAATTGATGGTGGATTTCAGTGAATGAGCCGAAGGAAATGAAACACGGGGTTGCACCATCAATGGCAAAATATTGCCATGGCAATGGGTAGCTTTGCCAGGAAAAAACAAACAAACAACAACAGTCCTCTTTCAGCAAAAAGTTAGAGAATTTTCTGTTCTCGCCTCACCAAAGTCTGTGCTTTTGGACATCTCGGAGGGGAGAAGACGGCGTACCCTGCTTACGCAAGTCCCACAGATCCGGCTCCCTTCTCAGTTGTATCATTAGATCTTTTCCAGAGCAAGAAGTAACCTTTACACCCAGGGGAAGGCATCGACATTTGCTTTATAATGGTTTTGGTGCTTTGGTTACTGTAATTCTGTTACATTTTCTCACAGAAGGTGGAAGGGCTCAGAAATAACGCAGCTCGGCGTCACTCCGAGTTGAAGTCAATCTTGCTTCAGGAGAGACTGCTGACAGGGACGGTTTCCTTAGGAGCAAAAGCATGGGCGGGCCTGCACTTAAATTAATAAAGAGCTTTCAGAAAACCATGCCGCAGAAAGCGAGGGAGCTGAGACAGCGCGCGCTGCCCTCTTCCGCAGGCCCGGGTGCCAGGCGGGGTGCGTGCCCATGCGCCAGCACCAGAGCCCTCTCCCAGCAGGGCCCTCGCCGGTGGCCTGCTGCCTCTTTCCAGGCATGTCTGGCCATCTGCAGTGGCCCGGAGGATCCAGTCCCACCAAGGGGTGGGAGCTCCGGGGGTCTCCTCTCAACCCAGGGAGACAGGCCTCAGCCACCGCCCAGGCAAGGACTCAGCAATGTTGGGGTCCTGCCTAGTGTCCGTACGCCGAGTTTCTTGCAGTTTAGCAGGCTGTTGTCCCCCTTTGCCCTGTTCCACGTGTAGCATCTGAAATTCCCGCTGGGCACCTGTACGTGTGTATGCACTGGGCCTTGCTGGCATCGTTCCTGAGGAAGACAGACACGGCCTGGTGTTGGTCTTGAGATTTCGTGGCCTGTGGAGCAGGAGCAATGGGCCAGAGCCAGGTGGCCATGTGGAATCAGAGCAGGAGTAACCAGGAGTGAAGGGACATCTTCCAGCTTACAGGTGTCTCCTGGGGAGGAGACAGCACCTACGTGAAGAGGCCAACAGTGGGCATGGCTGTGTTACACTTCTGTACCGTTGGGTGGACCCTAGTAGGCTTTGTGATCTGTGTGGTGCAAACAGCGCTGCTGGTCTGACGGGGAAGTGTCAAGACCTATTAAAAGTTTGCAGAACTCTTCTAATAGCAATCCTGTATCAGAAAAAATAAAATCGTCCCATATGGCTTTCCAGCTATTTGGCATTCCTTAGTTTTGTCTTACCATTACTTATATAACAACGCTTAGGCGCTGCTTAAGTTCCCTATAAAATATTTAATGTAGTTTACTGTAAAGTCTTCAGGCTGAGGACTGTTTCTTACAGAGTGTTCGTACTGTACCTAGCACTAATTTCAATGGCAGCCCCCAGGCAGTATTGTGGAGATTTGTTACTACCATCAAGATCTGTCGCTACCCTGTCACTTTTCAAAGAAGGTCCATTCTTAACTACAGGTTTAACATAGCTGGTGTTTAAATGACATTTTTCTTTTTTTCTGTCTAAAATGGTCAAACCAGTATCCAAGCAAATAAATTTTTTAACTTGAACTAATGTTGTCCATTTTGAACAGTGCTTGATCAACTTCATTTAACCAACTCAGAAAACATGTAACAAATAAGAAGGGTTCTTTTTCAAAAAAAAAAAAAAGCAGTTGGGTCTATTTTGCATGAGAAAATATTTTGTTTAGGAATGACAGTTGTAGGCATTCTCTCATACATTGTAATATTTTCCATGTGTGGCAGCTTGTTTTTCAGTGGTACAAATATGTGCAATAAGGGCTAAGGATAAAAATTAATCTAACAGCTTTCGCAGCAATGCTTTTGATGGTTTCACTCGATTTCATTTTCCTGTGGATACTGCCGTTAGTTCTGCTGCTTGCAATATGTGAAGCATAATTCTCAAAGGTTCACGAGGTTGTAGGGATCCAGTAGGAGATGACTGATTTCTCCCCCCACACGCATACACTCCACCCCACACCCACTCACCCACCCACCAGCAAAACAGAATGCTGTACTATTTTTGGTAACAGGCAAAGGGCCTCCCTGTGAAAACAGAAAGCAGTGTATTTCTCAGTTACATCACTTTGCGATCTAATGCTGTGTTGTGCTCAGTGTTTTTGTGGTGATGCAAGTCTTTTTTTTTTCCTTTTCTTTTTTTTTTTTTTTTCCCCTTCAGCCGGTTGGATTTTCCCCATCTTACAGCACCTCGCAGGTCTCTTCTCTGAGCAGTACGTTGCCTGAGTGAGTGGAAACATACAGATCAGCTGCAGGTTTCTGTCTACAAAAACAGAGTGAAAGAGAAAGAAAAGGGTTGGGAAAGCAGAGACAAATATTGACCTGGACTTATAGAAAGACATCCAATGGCTGAATAAAGAACCCCGTTCATGTTTTGGGATATTCTTTCAACTGGCTGGAACGAGAGCGGATCAAAAGAATGGGAAATGCCAGCAGACCCCTTAGAAGAATTGCTTATTTCTTATGCCTTTTATCTGTGCTTTTGCTGACTGAAGGGAAGAAACCAGTGAAGCCAAAATGTCCTGCCTGGTGTACTTGTACCAAAGATAATGCTTTATGTGAAAATGCCAGATCTATTCCTCGCAGCGTGCCGCCTGATGTTATCTCACTGTAAGGGCTGTAAGCATTTGGTTATTTAATTTATGATTTAAAATTAACTAGGATGTGTGGTGTTTTCAGTGCATACGGAAGGATGCTTGCTGCAGGGAGTACCTCCAGCATTCAGAATCATCGGCTAATGTGTTAAAATTGTGCTGCATCCTTGAATACTGATTTTTACATCTCTTTCATCTGTCTGTCTGTCTGTGTATGTGCACACATACCATTTTATACCTTCTTCTATACTACATGAAACCTGTAACATTCATTTTTTTGGTTTTTATTTTTTTTTTACATATATAAATAAATTTCTCTGTGATGACCAGATCAGTATTATAGCCATGGATATATGAGACTACATTAATATAAGGTTGTTTTTTTCTTCTTTCCAGATCCTTTGTGAGATCTGCTTTTACTAAAATCCCAGAAGGGAGTTTTTTGCTCACACCATCTCTGCAGCTTCTGTGAGAAATATTTATATGATACGATTTTTGTTATGAAATGTATATGTATCCATAAATATTTTAGAAAGGGTCTCAGTATGAATTTCATAAGAAACAGCAAGAGAAGATTAATTAGGTGACAAAATACAAGACTTTTTAGCAATTTGAAAGATAGTGCATGTTTAATTTTTTCAAAGTGTATCTACTTAGTATTTTGCGAGCCTATCTGTTGTCAGTGTTACTTTGAATGATTACATGCTGAAGCTTTCCATGACAGAACGTACGCTATCTTCATTATACTTTAATTAACATTACAGTGGGGACTTGGGCATGCAACAACTATTCATGTTTCTTTTCTGCAGTCCTGGGGCTTGATCCCAATATAAAGCTGCAACTCCCATGGACTGCGAGCTCAGAACCCCTCAGATCAGGCCCTTCATTGCAGTGGGGCAGGTCCTGAAGTCCCTTTTCATGTAAAATTGCCATTGACTTCTGTGGAAGTTTAGTCACTTCAGTGGGAGTTTTGCCTGCGTAGCGCCTGGATTTGACCTTATTTGTTATTTCACGTTCTCTGGAAAAAACTACGAAAGTAATGAAGCTTTTCTTCCAATTAAAAAATTTAAGCAGTTATTTCAAAATGAAATGCTGCGATGAGGTATACGCAGGAAAAGAATAATTTGGGCTGTTTAAATATTAGATGCATTTCTATATAGGATTTTTACCGGCTTTCCTAGAAATGTGGGCACGCGATTATGTAATTGCGAGCTATACAGAGGCAGAGGGGGTGTGAACTGAACTGTTTATAGTGGATCTGCTGCCAGCCTGACACACACCCAGATTTGTCTCAGAAATCCGGCATGACAGACTCCCCGATGTGATCAAAATCCAGATCGGACGTCTGTCCCAGACTGACTTCCCGTGCATGCTAGATGTGGTCAGAAGTGAAATGTTGGTGTATTGGAGCCCTACGGCTGTTAGATCAAACTGCTGGGGTGCCAACAGCTGAAGCCCTGACCCTAGCTGTACTCTGCTACCTCAAGTGGAGCTGATAAGGAGGTGCAGACATACTGTACAATTTTGGATACAGGGTAAATAGGTAAATGCAGTTACTATGGAAACCTAAATGCTTTTCCATGGTGCTTTATTCCTGAGAAGCTTTTCCCGGGTGGTCACGGATCACAAAAGGGACACATTTCACATAATTCCTGCAAGGGACCTTTCAAAGGAAAGCAAAAAAAAGAAATAGCAGCACTGGTGGAGCTTGTACCTGAAGAGAGTGAGTAGGACATCATCTCTCTTGGCTACGATACACCACCTACACTTAGCCATCCCACTGCCAGGGGAAGCAGGATTGCGTGGGGTGGAGTAGGACAGACACAGTCTTTTTATTTTGAGTTATTACAGTGAGGTCTGTGTCTCTGGCAATGGCTTTTGGCGTTTTAGTCATGGTGATAATTTGCATGATCTGATGTATGCTTCACCGAAATGCACATTCTAAGCTGCTGCTAATCAATGCTGCAACAAAAGCTCTGACCCCAGAAAAGCAGGTTTTGTTCCATTACAGGCTCTGATGAGAGATCTGTTAAAATGGTGCAAACAATCGACAGATTACTTACTTCTGCTACCTAGCATTTCTAAAAAATACTGCTGAACACTTTTCCAGGTAGATTTCTAACATGATAGCTGAGCTGCTTGCCATCTTTGGAAAGTCAGGCCGCTGATCTAAGGCAAATGACTCCTTAAACATGGACCATAGAAGCAGGATTGTATCTGTGGGGCCAGTGCTCCAGTCTGTAACTGGGAACGAAAAATTTTCACCTTTGGCAGAAGATAGCAAGGGAAATAAGAATATGGAGAACTCAGGTTAATTAAAAATTAAAGTAAGTTTTAGCTTTGCATGATTATAGCTATATTGGTAGGTTTAATTTAGCCAATAGCAAGATTTAGAAACCTATACGTATTTTTACATAATAGTCTCCAGCATTACATTTTTAGAGTCCAAATGTAACTTGGTATCTCCAGTATGCCAGTCACACGTTTCTAAGGGTGGAATATATTTGCCTCCATTATTATTTACTACTATTTTTACTTTAGCGGCAATGGTCTCTGGAAAAGTCATGGTCTCATTGTGCTAAACACTGCTCATAAGTCCCAGGCCAGGAGAGCTTTTCTTCTCGAATAGTATGGATGATAGGCTCTGTGCTCTTCATGTGACAGCAAGCATACGAAGGACCTACACAGCAATGGGGAAGTACCAGCAGGAGCATTCCCCAAAGGTCGAGAAAATCTCCTGCTCTCATCTCCAGCACTTGTAACTCTTTGTATAAGCAATGTCCTGAGGGTGCCCTTATAAACTGATGACATGAAAGCCCACAGAAAGAAGGGAGGTAATCATGGCACCGGGATCCGTACCTGCTAGCAGTGTACAGTTCCTGCTAAACAGTACAGTCCCTAGCCACAGTGCAGCCTCTGTCCCCAGAAATAGCTAGCTGGTGGGACACAGATCAAGCAAATCTGGTGTTTGAGGTCAGAGAGTGGGAGAAAAGCCACTTTGTGCATCAAATATGGATGATACAGCCATCGGGGGCAGGTACGAGATAGGAGGCAAAGGAGCTCACCAAGTGCAAGACCCATGCCATGAGCCTGGCAATATCTAAAATAGATATACTATTTAAAGAGATACCACCCTGTTCTTTAAATTACAAGGAGGGTAGAGTGCAGGAAAGGAAAAATTATCCAGTGAAACCACATCAGAAAAGTAAAATTAGTTGCAGGCAGCAGATTTACTAACTTGCTCTTCTCGTTCAGAGATTTTACAAAAATACTTACTTCCTCTAAGAGAGAGAAGTATTCATTGTTTCTAACAAAAAGGAAGAATTTCCTGCTTAGACTTTTCATACATATATAGGAACTTATTTAAAGTGGAAGAAGCATAGTCTGCAGTAGACAAGTGAGAAAATATATCACCTGCAATTTATTCTTAATGCAAACTTCAAAATAACAGATTAAGTCATTAAGTATATTAATTCATACTTGGAAATCTTGAATTCCTGAATGCCTAAAAATGTCAGAGTGTAAATCTACTTATCCATCAGGTCAAACTGAATAAAATTTAGATGTGCATCTAGTATTCCACTGGGGTAAGGTAAAATTCATCGTACTTGACAATGTGTCACCATATTAAGGGTGTGGCAGTCCAGAGCTGAATTAAAATGGGCAAATGCGGACATGGCTGGTGAGCATAACTAAAGCTAGAAAAATCAATGCTCTTCCACTTTTAATGCTTACAACATTACATAAAATTAAATGTGTTGCTGGTATTTTTACTGCTAGATGGATGAAAAATACATGCACGCACTAAAAGCTATCTCCAGCAGGTATAATATGGTCTTAAAAATAGTTCTGATTTGAACACTGGCTAAATTAAGAGATTTTCCATTTTTTTCTCAGTAACTTCTCAGTACCTTCAGGTCAAATATGCTCACAAGTTTAACTCGTAAGTTAAGGGATTTTCCAGTCTATCAGTGGTGCCAATTCAACCTGATGTCTGGCTAACCAGCTGGATGCTTCCCCTGTTGTCATCCAAAGTAAGTGTTCTTCAACACACTTTAGACCTCTGTAGTACTTGAACATTTCATTGTTGTCCAAGTATGTCTCCAGTGGCACTTGTACAATCCCATTGTTTTACTGGCATGATAAACCCACGTTTACATCCCACAGAAGTCAATGGAATTTTATCAGATGGCCCTAGCAGGCAACTCAACGAGTTGTTCCGTCCTTCCCTTTGCACCAGACTGCGGTGCAATCTATCAGCCTTACGATCCCGTAGTGCTCACACAGGCAAAAAGCATGAAACCAGTCAGTGGAGATGTCGCCTACCATGGTTTGCTGAACCATTTCCTAAAGATGTTAATAACCTGATGTTCTTTTGTTTTGCATCTTTTTATGCAGGTTGTTTACATCCAACACTTTTGATGTTATTAGTGACGATGCTTTCATGGGCCTTCCTCATCTAGAATATTTGTGAGTGGACAAAAGTATATTTCCTGGCATTACTGAGTAGAGTGGGTGGGCTTCCAAGTTCCAGGCATTGCTTTGACCAGAATAACTTTACGACCCATTACAGGTTCATAGAGAACAACAGCATTAAGTCAATTTCAAGAAATACTTTCAGAGGACTGAAATCTTTAATTCACCTGTAAGTAAAGTGGTTGAATATATTGCTTGGTGTATTTCATATAGTAACTGAACCACTGTGTTGTTTAATTTTGCATTTTGATATATAGCTGGTTTGCATTTGTTTAGGCAGTATTAATAGTAATTTCCTTAGAACGTTGACCTTGTGTTTCCACCAAAGATTCCAAACTGTGGTATGCGTAAAAGGCCGGGACCCAAACAGCTTCCAAGCAGAACATGTTTGGCAGTAGCTCCCTGACTTTCTCTGTTCAGAGCACTGGGGATTTCCAACTGAGCATGTGGGAGCGGTGAGAAAGCAGGATGGGTCGGGAAGCTTGGCACTGACAAGGCGAGTCCCAGTTTGGGACTTGGAGGTGAGGAAGGTGGGAGCCGTGGTCAGCGCTGAGGTGCCACGGTGATGAGAGGCTGAGGGGTGGGCGCACACCTCTCCCCACGTACCCCAGTCTGCCCAGGATCCGGGAGAAGACTGCAGCCGTTCCTGGAGCCTCGGGCATGCTGCAGCCCCCTCGCTGCACCAGCCAAGGAGGGAAAATAGTCAAAGGTGCTCTGGATGCCAATGCAGCGGCAAGGAGCAGCGCTTCCTATGCTCGCCCCGGCAGAGGCATTTCTCACGCTGTGCTCAGCAGGTGAAATGCACGCTGCCAACAAACACCTGGAACATTTCCCTGCAAACACAAGAGTCGCATCCTCATGCTCTGAGCTAGCGAGACAGTTTTTAGACAGGCTTTTGTCTCTTACCTTACATCAAGTTTATATTTAGCAATAATTTTATTTTAGTAAGCAATAAATTTATTGAAAACAGAGTATGTACTGTGAGAAAACAAAAAATACAAAAATACTGTAAGAGAAGGAGGCTAAAACATCTGGGGTGTGCCTGACATGGGTTTATACCCAGCTCTGAGCATTTGCATTCTGAAGCATATATCCTGGGGGGTCTGCCACAGGCAGGGGAGTGGACTCTGTCCTTTTGGCCTTAATGTAATAACCTCCAAGAGGGTTTTGAAACAGGGTCATTTAACTTTTTCTGTTGTATATTTTGACACAAGAGAGAAAGTAAAGGTTCCATTTTAAATAGTTAATACATAAATATAATAGTTGAATTGCAATTCACCACATCCTTCACCGCATAGTAAATGTACCATAAGCCACTTTACTCTTCCCTTTTTTGGTCAGAACAGACAAGACTGACAGCTGGCTGAAACCCAGCCTACTGTGACTACTCATGTAGATAAAGTTACTGATAGAATGGCTCTAGGTCTGAGGAGGAGGAAAGAGAGAGGAGAGGGAAAAAGGCATATAAACAGGCTGTGCACATCCCATAAAAATCCATGTTAGAGGTATAGGGGTAATTGTAGCATTGTTAATAAAGGCAGATAATTGGATAAGGCTGGTAATTGGGACCCTATCTTCAGAATATTTATGCACATGAATAGCTTTATATTCACAAATGGGTCCACTACATTATTTATCATATTCATTTACTTATTTAGTAGCTGTTGCTGTCAGTGAGCAAATTGCTTCTCTAACACAGAGGAAGGCACAGTTTCTTCTCCACAGAGCGTACAGTCCAAGAGTAACATTTTGTCTTGCCTGTTATGTTGGTTTCTGGGGATGCTTCAGCAGTTTTGCAAGAGAAAACACATACAAAAGCTAGAACCACATTTGAGGAGCCACTGCTGTTTGCATGTGGTTGCACGCACGATTTTGGGACCTAGATTTGTGCATCATGCTGCTATTGTGCATGGAGTGCTATTCATAAGGACAATGAGAAATTTTCAGAAAATAACTGCAAAGGCAGGTCCATTAACCACAAAATGGGACTAGTTTCATCTGCTCGCAGAGCCACTCCCCACCCTTTGGGGAAAATTGCACATGCATGTTAAGAATAATCATTTGGCACCCTGAGGCGTTTCTCATTTAAGAAACAGGAGAGTACTTGCAGACATAAAAAATATTTAAAAGAATCATAGTAAATAAGCATACAAGTGAGTTGCATGAAGTTAGAGGAGACGATTAACTTTGTTCTATGTATTCTGTTCACTTCCTTTTCACAACATAACCTTTGCCATGCAGTAAGCTATCCAAACATTTGTACTTTTATAATGCAATTAACTTTGATAATTATAGTGTGTCCTCATTGTAAAACAGAGACATCTAGTATTTATTGTTATGCAACACAATTTTTCTTCTCCTCAGAGTAGATGTAAGAACAGAAAAAATAAAGAAAAATAGCACTTTTTAAACTAATTTGCTAATATAATGTCAAAAACTTACAGTTAGGATTGGACAATAATTTCTATGCACAATATATAATTTTGATTACATTTCTTTCAGAACTGCGACCATAAGTTTAACTGCATGTTTGATTCAACCTTTACTCTCTTATTATAAACCAAATACCATATACAGCACCATCTAGGAAAGCCAGTGTTTTCTAATATATAAGTATGCTTTTTTAACAGTGGAATATAAAATGCATAATTTTAATCCAAAAATTGACAAATGCGTAAACCTTGTCTAAATTTTTCTGTCAGTCATATTCCCATGGCAGTGGTGAACCACTCCTACTTCTAAGTACATCATCATACACAGTTTGCTATATAATAATATATAAAGAATATATAGGGCATTAGGCCTGCCTCAGCTTGCAAGTGTGAGTTACCTGACTTTTAAGGAATTGCTCTTGAGCATAAAATTAAGCACGTGATACGTATACCAAACAGTGTTACAATCAGATGTACGCTGAAAGTGGTGAGCTCAGAATGGACTAACGGCATCTTACTATTCCCGATAAGGAAAATACTTAATTTTAAATGAGGCAGCAGACCTAGTACGTCTGGGCCTGTTCTTGAATTTAGGCATATGCCTAAGTGGCTTTGCTTGGCCAGAGAAATTGTGATTAATAAATAACTTTGATGTTTACAAGCGAAAACAGAAGAGGTTCTAAGTCTTACTAGCTACAGATTCTGACTGGGATCTTAAACTAGAATGATTTCTTTCTATTTTCATTTCTTCTCATAAGTAATAAATAATTTTGTTAATCGAAAGAAGCGTAAGCTATCCTCTACACTGTTATGCTTTTCCTGTCATGCTCTCAGTGATATCTCAGAGAAGCCAGACCTTTGGTGGACTCATACAGCCATGTCTCGCTGAAATGTAATATATAGCTCGTTCAAAGCCTGCTCACGTTTCCTCATCACTTTTACTAGTTAGAATATTCACTGAATTTAAAGGAGTTTTCCCAACATTAAAAACTGGGAATTAATGGCAGTTTTTTGCTGTTGTCATACACACATACGTACACACACACACGCACATTCCAGGAAAGCGATTCATGCTGATCAGCAATTTCTTGTCTATTACTGCATATTTCCAAAAACTATGAGCTAAACCTTAAGTCCCATGGAATGAAACCTAGTATTGAGATTTTTCTTGCAGAAGAGATACAAGAAAGTGGGGAAATTGCAGTAATGTGAACACCATGCATTGGTAGCTCATAAGGAAAACATCAGTAGATCAAATCATGACTAATTGTTTTAAAATAATGGTGTTGGCAAAACGCCAGAGGTGACTGCACTTTTTACCCTGCTAAGTGAAGTATTGTAAATGCTGCAAGGCTGCCAAAGAGCGAAAAGGCAGAAGGAGGCATGGCATTTTAGTGGAAGAAAAAATCACAAAGTCAATGAACTATTCATAAATGCAATCTTTTAGAACTAAGTGCTGGGGAATACCAGGGTTCCTCACCTTAAGGAAGAAAAAGCCACACAGTATTACACCTTGCAAAAATGTGTGATTTCATGAACTAGCACTCATACTGAAGTATCTTCTTTTACAGGAGTCTCGCAAATAATAATCTCCAATCACTTCCGAAAGACATATTCAAAGGCTTGGATTCTTTAACAAATGTGTAAGAAAACAATTAATTAATCTATTAATTATACTAAAAATATAAAGAGATTATTTTAGAGGACATTCTGAGTAACGATTCAAACTGAGAGCCAGCAATGGAACTTTTTACTGGGTAGAGACTACCCAATATGGGTAGGCTTGGTTTTTGTCTACTGTTGTGGATAATTTGCTTTAGTTTTGAATATTCCACCAGTTATAAAGACAAGTAATATTTTTAGTAGTTATGTAAGAGAGCTGCACATTCATTAAGAGTGAATAAGAAGGAAGTATCCTTAGGGATGCATGAGAGAGCATGGAGGGGGAGGGGAGGGTGGGAGAAATTTAATGGAGTAACATTTCTACGTGAAAATAATTTCTGAGAAGGCTATCTTTTATCACAAAATCATGTGTCTTAGTAAGTACCATATCCCATAGTAAATCTAATTGCAACCAAACCAAAACATGAACTTATTTAAATATGTAACTTAGATACCAGTAAAAATCCACAGTGTAGATAAACAGATAAATCCTATAGTTGCTTCACTGAAATATGTCCTGTTTACAACACACCAAATTCTGGTTCACCTGATTTGGGACAATGAGCGCAGAACATCCTTTGCCTGCTCCCTGTATTATGAAGGTAGGCTGAATTCCTAGTGTAGAGCTGCAGCAGCAAGCTGTGGAGATGCTCAGTCCGTCTGGTAGCGTTCCTTGGCATGACTGATCATGGCCAGGTGGTTACACAGTCTGGTCCTGGCGCTTGCCTGTTCCTGTACACACCATCTGAAATCTGACTGAAGACAGCTGTAAAAGACTTGAACAGAGCTCCTTTGCTTGTGTCTCCTAAAGCCCTAAATGAGTATGGCTAAAGGAGACAGCAAATACTGACTGGCTGACCATCAGGTTATATTCATTCCGGTTTTCTTATCTAAATGCTCTTATTGAGAAAGAGTAGTCCAAAAGAAACAACCTCCTGAAATATGTGGCCAACAGTTTGGTAGGCTTTTGTGTACCCGTAAACTTGGAGAAATCAACAAAAATTTCCTACTAATCATCAAGTTCTCCTGGATTACCTTAATATAATTAAATCTGTGTGGGTTCTGGTATGCAGACGTAACTACAGGTCAGGATAAATGAAGGCAGGAAGGCATCAACTGAGAATAAAGAAGAGGGCACGTATTTAACAAGAGCCCAGTTTGTTGTTGCCCTGCAAGGAGGAATACATCAGCTGACTACTTACTTTCAATGCATGATTTATTTGTTGTAGAGATCTTAGAGGCAATGCATTCAACTGTGACTGCAAACTGAAGTGGTTAGTGGAATGGCTGGGCAGCACCAATGCCACAGTTGAAGACATTTACTGTGAAAGCCCACCAGAATATAAGAAGCGCAAAATCAATAGTCTCTCTCCGAAAGAATTTGACTGCATTATTACAGGTAATGTGCTTCAAATTATTTAATCTTGTTACATTAAAGTCACAGCTATATACATTTTTATTCTAGGGTTCATTTTTGCAGGGTCTGCATACTGGATGGAACTTCTACTAAAATCATTACAAATTCTGTGCAGGTGTTAAGTCTGACATGCAGATCACTTGGGAGTGGGGTCTTCTATTGCAGCTTTGGCTCAGACTTTAATATGCTCTATAAGGATTTGGAAAACTGGAACATAAAACACCACCTCTTTTAATTGAGAAAGATTGAAAAACAAGTTGCAGCGCTCCTTTATCAACGGGAAAATTGGACTAGTGATGAAATACTGTAATTTGTAATAGATTGGTATCTGTTAAGCAGATGTTTTTTCAGTACAGTATGGAAAGCATCTCAGTAATTACCATATGTTGTGTGCACTTTTGCAGAATTTGAAGTTTATCAGTCCCTGCCATACCAATCTCTGTCAGTAGATACATTCTCATATATGAATGATGAACACGTGGTTATTGCTCAGCCTTTTACCGGAAAATGCATCTTTCTGGAATGGGACCATGTAGAAGTGATGTTCAGGAATTACGACAACATTACAGGTATGAACACTGCTCGAAAAATAACATTACAGCAGCTGATCCAAAAAGTGGTGCTAACCCTGTCTTCTACTTTTCTTTTTATAGGTACTTCAACTGTTGTGTGTAAACCCATAGTTATTGAGAGTCAGCTGTATGTCATTGTCGCACAGCTGTTTGGAGGCTCCCACATATATAAAAGAGATATTTTTGCTAATAAGTTTATAAAAATTCAAGATATCGAAATCCTTAAAATCCGAAAACCCAATGACATTGAAACTTTCAGGATTGCTGAAGACTGGTATTTTGTTGTTGCAGACAGCTCAAAGGCTGGTTTCACCACAGTTTACAAATGGAATGGGAATGGATTTTATTCCCATCAGTCTCTGCACGCCTGGTACAGAGATACTGATGTGGAGTATCTTGAAATATCTGGCAAACCACACTTAATTCTGTCAAGTAGTTCCCAAAGACCTGTAATATATCAGTGGAACAAAGGAACAAATGAATTTGTTAAGCGTTTTGATATCCAAGATATGGAAGATGCATATGCAGTGAAACATTTCAAAGTGAAAGAGGATGTATACATTTGCTTAACAAGATTTATTGGGGACTCTAAAGTAATGAAATGGGGTGGTTCAGCATTTCTGGATTTACAAAGGATGCCATCCCGAGGGTCAATGGTGTTCCAGCCGCTTCAGATAAATAATTATCAATATGCCATTCTTGGAAGTGATTATTCTTTCACTCAAGTCTATTATTGGGATGCTGAAAAGGCAAAATTTGTCAAGTTTCAAGAATTAAACGTACAGGCACCAAGATCTTTCATACATGTCTCCATCGATAAACGAGATTTTCTCTTTGCTTCAAGTTTTAAGGGAACTACATTGATTTATACACATGTCATAGTTGACTTAAGCGCATGACACTCATAATGCTGAGATTACATCAGACTTTCTACCATAAGTGGACAAAATGAACTAAATGCATGATGACTCTCTTATCTTACTTCCAAATGAATGCCTTTAAAAGTTGAGATTGCTAGAGCAAAGTATTACTAGTATCTTCATCTTTAATTGTCAAGTCTAGTGATGTTGGAAGTTGCATTTTTTAACAAAAAAGAAATTAAATTAACTGTTCTTTGCATCCACAGTATGTAAATATGTGTGCAACTGCATCTGTTGCTATAAAGAATATTAAGATGTACTTTTCCATTTATTTATTCACCTGTTTGAAACAACTGCCAAATAAAATGTTTACTTTTTGTGTCTTTCACATTCCAAATATTATTTTCAGGTGATACTCTTTATTTGTGTATATATTATACACATATAAAATAAACCCGAGAAAGCATATTGCCCAATGCAGTGTCGTACTGCATGGGAGATGCACAATATCACAGATCAGGTGAGTTTTACGTATAACAAGTTCTTGATAAAAATACAGCATTGAACCCCAATCCTATAAATTATCACCTGGACATATCCTTGCATTTATGTGAAGCTTTGCTGATTTAAACAGGACTCCACCCAGAAAAAAGCAATTGTATAGATCTGGTTGTAGGATGGAGGGTTCAGTTATATAGATCCAGTTGTAGGACGGGGCTTTGTACTCTGTATAGCTGGAAGTACCCGATTTTCTAAAAACTTACAAAGAAATCAACAGAATAAAAGATGATGTAAAGGTCTGTCTTTCTCTGCCTCCTGCTGCAGCACCAAAACCCGAATCTCTGGTATAACAGTGGGGCTGTTACTGTGCTGAAAGCTAGCAGCACAGCTTATTTCTCAGCTGGCATCATCTCTATATCCGAACTGTTACACATTGCTTGCATGGATACTGTAGGTCCCTGTCAAGTCTTTCCCCTGTAATTTTCAATTAATTTATTCATTATTCTGAATGAAGCTAGTGAATGTGAAGTTGTTTTTTTTTCCACTATCCTACAATGAAGTTTAGTAATGGATACTTCTGAAATTCAGAGAACTTTGAATGTGGCAGGACAAACTCAGTTGGTGTAGCGTTATGCAACTCCAGGAAAGCTACCTGTATCTGTTAAATTATGCCAATTCTGAATTTGGCATGAAAATCTACTGCAAACTCAAAGTTGAAATAGTCTTTTTCTTTACATACTTGTAGTGCATCACTTGTGAGACACCTGTGCTGCGCTGAAGATCATTTGGTGCAGCTCAGGAAGAAAGTTCAAGTTGATTTTAGACACCTTTGCACGTCTCTTGAAGTTATCAAGCCTTGTGCTCCAGAGTCATCATTAAAATATACACATGAATACTGTAGATGTTTATACACATTTCTAACATTTCTAACATTCACAGACATTGATTGGCAAATAAGACTGATCACACTATGCATAGCAGCTAATGACACAAGCTGATTCTGCAGGCTGGCTGCTCCCTGTACTCACAGAGACCCCAGAAATGGCAGAGCATTATGATGCTGCTGAGAGCATCTACAATAGAAAAATAACAATTAAAAAAAAAGAGACGTATGCTTCTGTAATAAAGAATATAGATTTTTTATACTAAATTAATAGATGAAAAGAAAAAAATCACATGTGAACAATACTACTCTAATAAGTTAATTTTTCTGATGCCTTCTTATCCATTGCTGCCTATGCTCTGGTCAGTATTTGGCTTAATATCTACCTGTTCCATAAGTATTTACTGTGTGACTAGAAAGATTTTAAACTATGTTTCACAGTTGAAACTTCCAAATTTTTTCTTGATAAACACATTTCCAAAAATCATCTTGATAAATCATCACTTGCTTGACAGGTTTCCTTTATGAATGTTTAACTTTTATATGAGCATGATTTCAAATCCCAGATGAAGCCAAATTATCTCTTATTATTTCTCTATGTTGGGTGCACAGCTGTGATTGCCAACGCAGTTTGTCCATCTCTTCTTCAATTCACTTCGCATGGCAAAGGAATGAAGTGGAAAGTCATGAGCTGATCTCCAATCCAGCAGCAAATCATGAACTGTTTTCTACTTCATCTTGTCTTTTGTTTCAGTCTTTCACTTAAGGCCCTGTTGAATTATGTGCACTAATTTTGATCTGATTTCTCCCATTACACTTGCCTACATACACTCTGTATCAAATTATATAAGTAATGGCTATGTGTCCTTCTCATTATGGACATATTAGGGACATCTGATGGAGCTTCAGTGGGGTTGGATAACCTTGCTAATCTGCTAACAGCATTTCTTTAAAAACAATATTCCCTCATATATTCCCTCACAATTGTACCTTGAGAAGGTTGTGTTTCATGGAATTATATTTCAGAGCCACCCAGGTACATGCCCTGTGCTATAGTAGTGCTATAGTAGTGCTATGATTGTTTTCCTGAGTTAACTTATTCTGAAATAATACGACGGACTTAGAGGAATTCACTGTTACTCCTTGATTTAAAGGAAGAGTTTAAAAGCCTGCAAGGGTGTGAGTTACTAGAATTTTACATTCTTAATACCTGTAAAACTAGCCACGATACGGTGGAGGGTGGTGAGGGATTAATGCGCAGGGTTAATCTGCTGAAGTACGCAACTGGGTTATCATTTGGTTGTTCCTTCAGGAAATTTTACCTGTAGTCAAGCATTAATGATTTGGGAAGTTCTTAATGCCTATGTCATTTCTGGAAGGTCGGCTAATCACTGTAAAATGCTGAATCTAAATCTGTTGTCTTTTGAAAGTCCCTTTCTCTAGTCAGTTTGTGTCAGGGAGAGATTCGCAGGGACTACAGCTGACTTCTTATTGTGCAAGTATAGCATTTCATTGCACCACATAAGGAACTGGGGTATTTTTAGAACAGAACTCATAATCCTTAACATAGAAGAGCATAAAGGCTCGTTAGGTGGCTCCCTATGCTGTCTCTTCCTCATTTCAGAGACTGGGCATTTTAACAGCTCCTCTGAGCATGAGGCCGTGTTCTGTCCTCCTCAGGATTCCTTCTGGTATTAGTGGAAGTCCCAGACAAAAACTAAAATAGAGCCTTTTACCATATATACATTGATACTTCTTTTCATTGTTGTTTAAAAAAATCCATTTCTTTCAGCAAACTCTATGTTACTTGCGGCTGACTGGTTGTCTTCTGTGGTTGTACTGGATTTTCTGAACTCCCCAATTGTTTTGTTTATGACTGACAGAGTTTGTAAAGTACTAAAAGTATTACAGAAGACAGTATTGGAAGTTATTAATGGATACTGCTGATCCTTGATGCTGCTTAGTCATGTAAATGTCTAAGACTGAAAAAACTATTAATGGAATTGTATTGTATTCCTACAACTCCTTCATTATATTTTCAGTGGAACACAAATATAAAAGAATATACACTTCTCTACTCTGGAAGGGGTATATAAAATCCGTTCAGAATATCTTATATTACACCATGTGTAGCTTTTTTTTCTTTTTCTGTTATAATGTCCAGGACTTGCAGGTTTTTTGTTTCTACTTATTTTCCATTGAAAAACTATTCCAAAATGCACTCTTCCTACTGAGAAAAGAATTCAGTAAGGAAAATTCTCATTCTGTAAGGTAACAAACCAAACGGAAATAGTGACAAATTGTATTATTGGTTTGGAGTTGCATTTTAATTATAACTTGTCTTAATTATCTTGTTTTTATTTTTTTAACTTTATTTGAAGGGGTGATAACAGCCATTCACAGTACACTTGAGGGTGGGAAACAATGATTAGCATAGTTAATAATATGTGTGACATGCTTTGATATGTTCTAGCTAAATGTCTAATAGCTGTATTTATGTATATGAGTATTACAATATATTGTGTTAGTATTCAGTGGAAAATAAAGAACATTTAAACCACAGAAGTAACAAACAGTCTTCAGACTGTTGATGAACACTACTGGTAATAGCACCAAGAGAAAGCAGAGAAGTCAGCAGGCCCACAATGTTACAACTAGGGACAGAATATAAGCCCTCAGCAAGTCTCAAGAGGCCGGGAGTCTTTCCTTTCAAGGAAATATTTTCCCCACCATGAAACACACCATGTGTTCCTCCTCAGTGGGGTCCCCTGAAAATCCAGATGATCACCTTGTTCCTGGAAAATATAGCAAGAGGCTTACAAACTTCATGCGCTACATCCATGATCTCAGTTTGTGGCAGTTTTTCCTTTTGACACCTCCCCATTACATCGGCCTCAACAGCGGCGACACGAACAGAGCGGCAAGCAGGCTACCGCCCACTGAAGGGGCCCGGGCCCTGCTGGGGCAGGACAGCAGCTCAGGTTAAGCAGGTGGAAAAGGCAAACCCAAGCACGCAGTACGCTCGGCTGTTAACGCCTGCCCCGCCGCCCAGCAGGCTTCGTCGCCGGTTTGTTAACAAGCATCGCAAACACTTGCAGCTCCCTTCCACAGGCCTGCAAGCCGCCGCCTCTCGTGCTTGCTGATCTGGAGACCTGAGCCAGGTAGTAAGGCTGTGATTCAGACTCCTATTGATTAGAACGGCTAAATGTGTTCTTGTGGTCAGGAACTAACCGATAAATGTGGAGGTCTTGGGGAGTTCGATTCCTCCAGACCGAGCTGCGGTGTGCTGCCTGACTTACTGCTAACGGCAACTTTTCTTCATCGCCGATGACTCTGAATTCTAGTGGCTGGTGTTAAAGGCATGCCTCTGTTTATAGTTCACTTAAACAAAGCGCTCAGAGGCCAACCTAACCCTATCCCTATTCAGGAATTTTCCTGAAGTCAACTATAGCTACAAAGACCTCCAGTGTGCTATACAGAAGTGGTGTTGTATTTCTGCTTTGAGACTTCGAATTTCTCCAATTAGTTATGCTAGTGTTATACTTCTGTCTTCAAATTGGCTACAGTAGAAAGCAATATTTGCCTCCAAATATGCACATTTATATTCACATAATTGTTTATTTATTCTCCAAATAAGCTGGAGTGGATGATGGCAATAATTATGTTACTGTTCCCAATCTCTTATTCATCAAATCAATTTTTGAATTCGCAAAAGTTGTTTTCAACTCAGCCTTACTTTATGATTCCTACTGAATTATTTCAATTGAAAAAGGACTTTCTGACCCATTCTCACTTCCTGTTCGAAGGCCGGGATAGCGACAGCAGTATGTTAGCAAGTTGTCAACCTGCCCAGATGGTAAATATCCAAGAATGCTGAAAGAGCTTCAGAATACACAGTTCTTCATTAAAAACCATTTATGTGCAAAAGAACTGGATGTAACAAATATCGTATCTATTTTTATAAAAGTTCATGGGATAATTACTGGAGTTTCAGACCAGTAAGATCCACATTTATATCTGGTTGAGTATCTGAAATGACAATCGAAAATGGAAGTGTAAAATTGCAGGAGAAAGTAGGTAACTAAACACACGGGACAGGCTGACTAGTGCAGTTCAGGGTCCAGAAACACAAAATAGTATACACAGGAGAGCAATGCTCGCAAGGTTTAAAATTAGCAGTAAAGAAAGGCAACTTGACATTGTTGTGAACAACTCAGCAAGACACTGATCAAGATACAGCTACAGGAGAAAGCAAATAATGTTACAACATGTGCAGGATAGTAGGGAGAATACAATGCTACATGTTATAACAAACCAATGCTGTCGCTTTATCTGAGCTATTGCATGCAGTACTAATGTAGCCTTCTCAAAAAACACACTGAAGAATTATTAAGGACTCAGAGAAATGTGGTAAAGCTCACTGAAGGTGTGGAACAAGATGGCACTTTAGCAAACAGCAGGCCATGAACCAAAATACTTTCCCTCCCCAAATTAAACTGTGGCATTCATTGCAATAGGCCATTGTTGAGAACAAGAACCTGGCATTCAGAAAACAGTCAAACATGGACAAACTACATTAAAATTGCATTTCTCTTTTCTATTAGTACTTAAAATAATTTTGAATTATTAGGGAAGTAGAGGTTCTTTGCACTTCTGCTGGAAGCATCTGGCTGTAGCCATTCTGGACAAGGGGACAGCCAAGCAGCTGGATAACGACTGTGCTCCAGTGTGTCATTGCCTATTGTCAGTCCTTGAGACACACTGCTCAGAAATTAGCTCAACTTTGTTGCTGAGATTCACAAAATAAAATATATAAGATGCACATATGAATTAGCTGTTCAGAAGCGTTTACAGTACTGAGAACAGGAACACTGAAAAAATCTGGAAGATACCAGCAACATATATTTCAAGGATGACAACAATTAGAAAATTTTGGCAAAGTAGTTGCAAGCACTTGAAAATGTAATTGCACAACTTTGACTGGCTTCAGCTATGTAAGTCCTGACAGACATAGACACCCTTTGGAAGAACAGAACTCAGTAGTTTTATATGCTTATTCTTAAGAGTTGAATATTAGAGCTGTAGACATATTAGTTGCAACATACCTTATGATTATCCAGGTAACAGCATTGTCCCGTGAGGGAGTAATTTCTGAAACACAAGAACAGATTACCAATTTTGGAAAAAAGCCCAAACAAATAAAGAAATAAAAACCCCCAAATTTCACAATTTCCAAATAACTGTGAAAGTTGAAAACCCTGTCCTGTGCCCTTTTGTCCTCAATATACAACATCATACTGATACTGCCCGTACAGGAAAAGCACCAGTAAATACATTGCTCCACAGTACAAAACAAAGGAAGAAAAAGGACAAAGCTGGAACAGAAACAATAGTTTGTGGTCAAGCAATCTGTTTGGGTTTGGAAAGTTTAATTGCACCTGTGAATGTCTAAATTTTCTGATATACAGAACATTATGGAAAAGAGAACATCCTTTTAATGTTTACATTTGAAAGCATTAGCTACCTGGATTACAAACTGCAAACACCAATAAAAATCCACTGCTTTTAAATAATCCGTATGTGCTGGCATTAGTCCAGCCTTAAACCCTAGCTCCAACTTTTCCTTAGCATCGTTTAAGGTAACAACTGCTCCTTCAAACTAAACCCACTTCAAGGCTGAGACCAAGAAAAAGTATCTGGTACAGCAGCTGCTAGGAAAGCTCTGCTTGTCTGTACGGGGTTCTGGAGTACATCAAACTGCAACAGCAGTACGACAGTCATATAGTATTAGCTTGAACCAAATAGGAAATGAATGTTTGTTCCAGAATTACAACTAATTTCAGAATTTCTGCAAAGTTATTTTGAGAGCAGTAACACTATCAATGGACCTAAGAATAAGAAAAAAGGAAGCTATTTCAACTGCTTCTTAGAAAATCCTACTATTGGGGTGTTTGTGACTGTTGTCTAAAAGTACCCGTAAATGTAACTAGGTAAAATTGCAGAATAACCAGTTAATTCAATGACTCGAACTGTAAAGTGTACCTGGCAAGACTATTCCAAATAAACTCTGCTATGGTGATATCACTGTATACAGCCAAAGCTCTCTTCAGCCAGTAAATTGCAAAGTTCTGTTTCCCTGTCCAAGAATACCTCGTAGCCCTCCTTGTGCCCGTGCAAGGGACAGGCTGCCGAGAAGCTGCACCTGGAAGAAGGGAACAAGCTCCATGTGTGCCTCACCAGTGACAATTTGCTTGAAGCACAGCCACAGCCCGCAGGCACTCCTCCCAGAGACACGGACAGCTCAGCAGGGTCTTGAGGACACCAGCTCTTGCATTTCGGAACATTCCCAGTTTTGTTGGTATTTCAGAGGGAGTAATCAGCTTGCATGTGTCATCAAACCCAAGCTCGCTTCTCGTCCACTTGCTGGGGAGCCAGGAACAGATTGCAGAGATCAGCACACTCTGCAAAAGCTTGGTCAGCCCATCCTTGAGGGGCTGCCACCCTGGCACTGGTGGTGAGCTAGCTGAGGTTACAGGGACAGAAAAATAACCATTCGGAGTTAGACTAGGGTTCATGTGCTCCGACGTCCTGCCTACTTAGCCAGAAGTGATGCTTGTTTTTAAAAAAAAAAAAAAAGGAGTATGGAAAATACAGCACGATGATTTCCCAGGATACCCTCTCAGCCTCTAGCAAGGAAGGAAAAAAACCATGCTTCCTTCCTGCCTTAAGGAAGTATTCTTATGGACAGCAAAATGCCTAGAACTGGTACATTCTGCATGCATGGCAGCAGCAGGGGTTTTTCTATAATGAGGAATGCTGTTGTGCATTGCAGCTCCTGCAGGTAATGAAGGAGCACTGACTTCAATTAAACAATAATGAAAACAAAAAACACCCCACCTGTATCTGCGACTCTGACAAATGGAAAGGGTTTTAAAACCTATGTTGCAAGGTTTTCCTCCCACAACAACGGCTGGTGCTGCATCTCAGATCCTTCCCCTTTGAACACACCAGTGCAAGTAAATGGAAAGGAGCAGACATTACACTAGCGTGTCAGAACAAGATAAGAGATGCACAGGCTGAATCATGTTAGTCTTTCATATATATCATAGGTTTCTATAAATATAGAACATAAATATGTTTCATATAAATAACATATCATTCATATTTATAAATATATATATGTGTGATAGCTTCCCAATACAGTAATAATGATCCATCACCTGTGACGAGGTTATGTGCACTGTATGTAATTTTTGTTCTGAGGAAAAGTAGAAGCCAAGGAAGAACAATCTCCTTCAAGTAAGGCATCTAAATGAATGCTTAATAATTCATAGGAGTTGCAAGTAAGGAAGTTTCCCCCTCCCTGCCCTGCAGAGCACCCCCAGGCAGACAGTTTACAGAACGGGAAACTACTGTGTAAGTGCCAAGAAATGCAGCTGATGGAAATAGTGCCCTCCCCTTCTATGAAGATAAACTATACATTCAGTCATTCCTGTTGCTGTAAAAAAATCAGTTAAGGTGACAGTGAAAAAAATATAATTGAACAAATTATCTTCTTTTAACAGCTACAAATGCCATTATAGAACAGAACAAAACAAGCAAAAATGATCACTGGCAACTGGGAGCAATTTCCATTTTCCTCCACTCCTCCTTGGGAGCTCTAACACTCCCTGGCACTCAAGCTGTACTTCTACTATCTGATTTTTGTACTGTACTGCCTGCCAGAAAAAAAAATCTCTGGAAAATCACCACAAACTTTAAAGTCATATAATTTTTTATTTCTCTTTCTCTTCTCTCCCCAGTGCAGACTGCTACAAAGGAGGAAGGAAATACTTCCCCTTTTCTACTACTAATTCCCTGAGTAATCTAGAAGGAGCACGTATTAATGATTACATTATTTCAACTCAAGCATTTTGCAGAATGGTAACTGATACCTGCTATCTACCCCTGTTTTCTCTGTCTATAGTTCACAGAATACCTG